TTAGGTTTTAGGGTTTAGGGTTTGGATTCAGGATTTAGGGTTCAGGGTTAAGGGTTCAGGGAATGATAGTTCCATGTCTTCAAGAGCAGCAGCTGAGGAGGGAAAGGAGTGCAAAAAGGAATACACATAATCACGGTCGTAGCAACAGCAAGTTACTAATTCCATGTCGCAAAGTAGCTAGTACTAAGCTTGACACTGAAACGCCTTTATGCCCACATTTCGGCAACAACCGTATCATCAGCAACAGACGTATCAATGCACGCTTAGTCCGTTGTGGACCCCAGTCTTCAGAAAAGCCCAATGCATTGCTTGAGTTGATCAGTCGGAATGTTATAAAGGAGACCAAGATCCCGAGACTTCCAGAATTTTCAAGCTTTCAGGCTTGGCTATATGGGTTTAGGGTGCATCAGGTTTCCGATTCACAGGGAGGTTCACCCTAAACCCTAAATCCTAACGGTTTAGGTTTAGGGTTTAGGGTTTAGGGTTCTAAACCCTGAACCCTGAAACCCTAAACCCTAAACCCTAAACTCTAAACCATAACTTGAGGCCAATGGCGGCTGCCCTCTCTGCCCGTACGGCTTTACGGAAGAGTCGCTAGGCTGTCTCAATGGCCGATCCCAGAGAGCCCAATACCCCTTGATTAAGGGATATACCTTAAATCCTAATAGCAAGGCCCCTATAGTCTGGGATTCGTAGCGGTTTAGGGGGGGTAGATGTAAGGGGCACACACAGCACCAAAGCGAACACCTTGGACTACAACACCGGACCAACGAACCTAAAGTAGGGTTTAGGGTTTAGGGTTTCAACAACCTTCTGGGAGTTTTTGTGAACAAGGGGGATACTTTGGGTGCATGTGGGAGTGGTGATGAACGTCTGAATACCGAAGCCTAAAGTTAATTAGGGGAGCCCTATACCATAAACCCAATATGGCAAGCCCTCAACCCGAAGCCCTAAACCCTAACCCCTACTACTTGTTCCTGAGGGCCCCTGAAGTCCTCGAACAGTACGAATCCCTACATTCCTCATCCTTACCCTAAGGGTCCATGTGCCCAAATAGTATCTACTTTGGCCCCAAAGTACCTATTTAGGGACTACTTTAAGGCCAAAGTATCTAGTATTTGGGTACATGGACCCTTAGGGAACCTAATCCCTAAACCCTAAACCCTAAATCCTAAACCCTAAACCCTAAACCCTAAATCCTAAACCTTAAACCCTAAACCCTAAACCCTAACCTCCAGCTTCTGCTTCGTCATTGCGGGTTCTTAAACCCTAAACCCTAGTATTTGGGTACATGGACCCTTTGGGTTGGGGGCTAAGACCTCGTTCCAAATCCGAAGCTTCGAACCTGGGGGCCTTTAAGACTTAGAATAGGGCTTAGGGTTTAGGGTTTAGGGTTTAGGGTTTAGGGTTTAGGGTTTAGGGTTTAGGGTTAGGGCTTTTGTTTGGGGGGGGGCTTCGTTTAAAGGGATCCTTAAAGGGTTCTATAAGGGCTACCATAAGGGTTTAGGGTTTAGGGGCCTTAAAAACTTAGAATAGGGTTTGGGGCTTCCTTATGACAATTATAGTATAATATACCCCCAAGGCCTATTCTAATTACGGAGGCCCCTAATCTAGAACCTATTATAGATCCCTGCTGGAATATTCTGAGGATCCCTTTAAAGGAACCCCCCATTACCCTCAAAGCCTCTTCTACTTATTTAGGCCCCTATAGAACACCCTAAACCCTAAACCCTAAACCCTAAACCCTAAACCCTAAACCCTATAGAACAGCCCAATCCAGAACCCCACCATCCAAACCCTGGGTTCGAAACTCTTCAACCCAAAGGGCCCATGTACCCAAGCGGTTTAGGGTTTAGGGCTTAGGGTTCAGGGTTTAGGGCTTAGGGTTTAGGGTTTAGGGTTTAGGGTTTAGGGGTTTAGGGTTTAGGGTTTAGGGTTTAGAGTTTAAGGGTTCGGGTTTAGTTTAGGGTTTAGTATATGCTTTGGCCTCAAAGTAGTCCCTATATGGTACTTGGATGTGGGGCCAAAGTATAATATTCTAGTTGGACACATGGACCCTTAGGGCAGCATTGAAGAGCTACACCCGAGAATCCTACACACCCAAGGGCGCCATACACCCTAAACTATCTCTCCATATAGCCCCCCGAAGCCCCTCTAACACGCCGATAAACTCGTTGACGAATCTTTTCCACCGTTATAAAAGGTGACAAGCCCACAGTCTATAATTGTAAACCGGTTATGAAAACCCTACAAATGCCATAAGACCCCGCCCTACCACACAGCTTGGGGCCCAACACCGCTTAGCAAGGAGCGGAAAGTCACCAACTGTTGGTCCCCCTGACTGCCGGGGTTTAGGGTTTAGGGTTTAGGGTTTAGGGTTTAGGGTTTAGGGTTTAGGGTTTAGGGTTTAGGGTTTAGTTTTGTCTTTTGCGTTTCGTCAATCCCCGGGTCGATCCCCGGCGTTCCTCAAGCAAACGCAAGAGCCCCACGCCGTCCCGCAGAGTTCTCCAGCGCCGAAATATGACGAGAGGTGGAAGTTCGGGGGGGTGGGGGGAGGCCATGCATCGTTTAACTCGACTGGCCACTCTCGATAAACGCCCTAACCCCTAAACCCTAAACCCTAAACCCTAAACCCTAACCCCTAGACTCCCTAAATCCACTTTGTACCGTAAACCCCAAACCCTCCAAACTGGAATCCCACACCCTTATCCCCAACCACCCCAACCCGAAATCCAACCCAAACCCTAAACCCTTAACCCCTAAACCCCCCAAACCCTAAACCCTAAACCCCTAAATCCTAAACCCTAGAAGTTCTATAAACCCGACAAGCCCTCAAACCCTAAACAACCCCTAAATCCTAAACCCTAGAAGTTCTATACACCCGAAAAGCCCTATAGACCCTAGATCCCCTACTAAACCCACTAAACCCTACACCCTAAACCCTATAAGCTCAAGAATTTTAGGGTTTAGGGTTTAGGGTTTAGGGTTTAGGGTTTAGGGCCCCCCAAAGCACCCAGAATCCGAAGCCCCCAACACTCCGACCAGCAAAGGTCGTTTGCTCCCGGAGGCCGAACAAAAGCCACTTGACATTGCTTCAGGGTTTTGGGTTTAGGGCTTAAAGGGTTT